GGGACTGGTCCTTGGAGAGGGACATCATGTTTGGCAGAGTGGAGGGGCATCGAAGGAGAGGAAGACCTTCGATGAGATGGATCGATTCTGTGACTGGAGTGGTGGGAATAAGTGTGTTTGGGATGGCTAGGTTGGCACAGGATAGAAGAGCGTTTAGGGCTCTTGGACATAGGGTTGCTATGAGTCGCAGGCGACTTGATGGCACATAACAACAACAACAAAAAGTCTCTCTCCAGTTATGTAGTAATTTTTGAAATTGTTGCTCTTGAGTGCTGTGTAGTATTCCACCATGTGAATGTACCACAGTTTCTCAATCCATTTGGTTGTGGTTGGACATTTGTGCTGTTTCCATGTTCTTGAGCTGGTAAATAATGCTGCTGTGAACATTGGTATAAAAATCTCTGTGTCTCTGTCCTAATTTCCTTGGGGCATATTCCTAGCAGTGAGTCATATGAGATCTTGTTTTTGATACTTATTTTCATTCAAACTCTGGACACTGAATATTATAGATTCTGAATCTTACTAAATCTGAAACTACTTCAGTGGGAGGAGGAGTAACACCAATGTATAATTGTCCAATGTTTGGAGAAGTCTGTATTATCACTGTTCAGCCTCTTTTCACTTGAGTTTAGGGGAAGAACGTCTTGTTACTGCTTGGAGGTAATGGGGGTTCAAGACATTTGGCCTCATCTAATAGGCCATGGGCTTTGCAATCACTTTTTATGCATTGGAAAGCTGGGCAATGACAAGGGATAATAGAAGGAGAATTGATGCCTTTGAGCTGTGGTGCTGGAGAAGAGTATTGAATATACCATGGACTGTCAGGAGAACAAACAGGTTCGTCTTAGAGAGGGGGAGACCAGGCTGCTTCTTAGAGGAAAGAATTCTGACGCTTTGGCTGACATACTTTGGACATGTTGCAAGGTGGGATCGGTTCTTGGAGAGGGATGTAATGCTTGGGAGGGTGGAGGGACAGCACAAGAGAGGAAGACCCTCGATGAGATGGAT